TACGTGTTAGGGGCACCACAGGGAACACACCAATGAACAAGCAACATCCTTAAGACACATTGCTCCTGTCCATGCTAACAAAGTAACTGTAGTGAGAATTTGGAGACAAGGGCCATTCCCGCAGGTGGAGATGATCAGGGAAGACTTCCGGTAGGAGCCAGTGTTTGATCTGGACCTTGAAGAATAGATGTAGGATTTGAATATGCTGAAATGAGGAGAGATGGGAAGATATGGGGAAAGCCGAAGAGTTCCAGAGTGTCCACAGACGGGGACCAGCCCAGGTCACCATTTTCCGCCCCGTGACGCTTACACAAGGCACTCATCCAAGGCTAAGGGGAACAGGTAAGTGCTCTCTCTCCGCCAGAACGGTTGGTAAACATCTTCGTGCTTTTTCAAGAACTACTACACTAAAATGTCTCTGTTTGAAACAATTACCGTGCCCATCACACACCGTGAGGTAAATTAACCCGTGAACACACGCCAACTCTTAATATCCTTTTAAAAAGCCGACACTGAAGTTGTTGGGCACTGTTTTACTGTAGAAAAGCAAAAAGGAATTCTAGAGAAGCATTTTCTGTCAGCTCAGAATGTGAGGAATAATAGCTGCTATTTGTAAAATACCTACTTTGTGTCGAGCACTCTACATATACATTCTGTTACTACCTCTCATGAAAATGCTGGGGAGTCACTGTTGTTATCACTACTCTGCAGATGAAGAAATTGAGGTTCAGAGTGGTTCCATGATTGTTCACGGTGTGAACAGTCTGACAGCAGAGGCAGAACTAGAATTGTGATCTAAGTCTGACACTAAACCCCACATTATTCTTCTAATTTTTTTATGAGTACTGGATAATGAAGGATCCCATTCTAGACTTGCCCTTGTACCTGCTCCTCAGACTCTTCTATCTATAGCTCTATTTATTCTGGTCATTAGCACACTTTTGGTCACCCCTCACTCTAATCCCTTGGCTACCTGTGATCTGGCAGCTCTCACCTCTGACCCTGTGGCAAATCCCGAGGACAGCAGAGACTGGATTGCTTCACGGGCCTCCTTGCCAGGCAGGAATAGCTACCACTTCTTGTCCCTGGAAAGGCGCTGACGTGCACGCACAGAACTGAGGCTCTATAGGCAGACAGACTTGCATTTGAGGCTCTCTAAGCACACGGTCCTGGCGGGAGCCCCTCCATCCCAGGGGTTGGGTTTAGTGAGAAGGATGGGCAGGGCTTGGGGTATATGGTCCTGGGTTCACACCCTAGTCCTGTCACATCCTGGTTGTGGGATGTAGAGAATTCATCAAACCTCAGTCTTAATGTGTAAATAAACTCAACAACAGCATATATCTCGCAGGGCTTGTTGTAAGCATTAGACAAGCCTGGCGCATAGTAGCTACCAACTGGTAATTCTTTTCAATTTCCTCCCTCTTCTAGGCTGGTTCGAGTGTGCTTCATTCACCTTTGTGTCTGCAAAAGCAAACACAAGGTGCAGTTCATAGCAAGAGCTCAACAAAACAGGACAAATCTTGAACCCCTATCCTATCTTTCCCTATTTCAAAAGTCTAGGGCAGGGATCAGCAAACTATGGCCCTCAGGATGTATCTGGCCCACGGTCTGATTTTTTAAAATACTTTTTTATTGGAATACATTCATGCTCACTCATTTACATATTGTCTATGGCTGTTTTCGTGTTACAACATCAGAGTTGAGTAGACGAAACAGAGACCATATGAGTCCACAAAGCCAAAAATATTTACCACTGGCTCCTTACAGAGAAGTTTGTGGACCCTTGGTCTTGCGTATGGAAGAGAGCCCTTGAGGAACTCCCCCACCCACACTTTATATCCTCCTTCCCTGGTTTATCTATTTTTTCACTGTAGCTCTCTCGGCCATTACCTAACATCCACGCTACTTTTCTTATATATGTTATTTTCTATCTCCCTGACTAAAGAGCTTCATGTGGATGGGGATTTTTGTTTGTTGGGCTAACTCTTATATCCCAGAACCCTGACCAGTGCCTGGCACATAAGTGGGAACCCCACGAACACTTGCTGAATGAATAAACATGGATTTCACTGAAAAGATTGTTTAGCCAAAGTGTGTTGGAGGCTTTCTCTTTCAGGGAAGACTTTGAGGATTTTAGGGGGACCAGGTGTTTCCCCAACAATGTACACGTGACTAACCCGGGGGTCTTGTTACAACGCAGGTTCTGATTCAGGAGGTCCAAGATGGGACCCTAGGGGCTACAGTTCTAATAAGCTCCTGGGTGACATCAATGCTGCTGGTTTATGGACCACACTTTGAGTAGAGAGGGTTTAAAGCACCCAATGAAGGCCTATACCTAAGACTTGGTGGAGTGGAGTTTTGAATTCAGAGATCATGGAGGTCCTCATTTCCTTTTTGTTCCCTCTTCTCCATCTAGAGGCATCTCTCAATCCCACAAGATCTGTCATGCCTCCCCTCGTGGGCCGCTCCCTCTCCCCTTATAATTTGCCTCCAGACCTTCCATTCCATAGCTACCCCACCTCCAGCATCTTCAGCCTCTTCCTTCTGCACTGGCCCCTCTACTTTACCTATACATGTGTTCAGGACTTTCTGACCTTTCAAGTGGCCAGTCTCATGTTTCTCCTCTGTTTTATTAAATGGTTAAATGGTTAAAAAAATACTTTTTTTAAAAAAAAGTATCCTCCTCACTGGGGTGCAAGCAGGCTGGCCTCCTCCCTCAACTCTATCCCATGACATGCTCAAGTGACTACTGATGGTCAAACGTCAGGGCCGTGCCCAAGCCCTCCACTTTCATCTCTCTGCAGCATCTGCTATTGTCAAATCCTCCTTCTGTGATGGACTTCTCCTCCCGGTTCTTATGGTTCTCCTCCTACTTCTCTGTCTTCTTTTCCAGTTCTCCTCCTACTCTGAATCTTTAACCATGGTCACGTTCTGAGCTGGCATGAGTTTCACTCTCTAGGATCTGTGACTTAGAACTCCAAGTTGGCACTGACTGAAAGACCCTTGTTTATCATTGCACCTTGAACTACAAGTACTTGCATATCTGTCTCCTACACTCTCACACTGTTCATGTTTGGTTTTACCACAGTGCCCAGCACAGTGACTGGTATAAAGTGGATGTCCAAAGACAGTGCTATGTTCACTGGCTAACAGACCAGAGGTTGTGATGGGTCACTGCAAGCCCACACCTACTACGGAACATTGATGCCATGAGAACCTCTGGAAGAACAGAATGCTACAAGGGGCCACCACTACTGCTCTGACTCCTTATGGTTTCTGAAAGGGGAAAGAAAGAAAACTAACATTTCATGAGTGCCAACTTTGTGCCAGGCACTTTATGAAATCCCTCATTCCCTATGAGTTAGGCACTATTACCTCTATTTTAGAGTTAAGAGAAATTAGGATCAAAGAGTTGAGAAAATTTGCTCAAGGCTGCATAGCTGGTGAGTGATAGAGATGTGACTTGAAGCCAGAGCTGCAGGACTCCTCAAGCTCATTCTCTTTCCACCACAGCAACAACACCCCATGTTGTTTCATTCTTCTGAGTCTTTGCAGATGCTGTTCCTGTTCCCTTTGCTCCAAATTCTTATTTCTTCAGTATTGGGTAAATCCATCTCTAAAAACATTGATAACTATCCCCTGGCACATTAAAAAGTTAGTCACCCAACTAACTGCTCCTACACCACAGTACATGTAGGTACCTCTCAGCCGAACTTTCAGGTATTTGATTTTATGTTAATCTGTCAGACAAGCTTGATTGAGCACTACGAGGGTGAGGCTCAAAGTCCTGGTCACCTCTCCATCCACAGTGTCTGGAACGTGCATGTTCAATGTATGTTTGTCAAATGAATGAATGAGTGAATGAAGCAAGTTCTCTGGTACTTTCAGCATTGGTGGTGGAGTCCATTGGTTCCTATATAACATGAGGGTGTTGGTACCAGAGTCTTATCTGCTCATTGTCTGGGCCTATTGTCCTGGGACCCAAACACTGAGCAGAGGGGATGAGAGACCCTTTTTGCTGGCTCCATCCTCATCTGTGAAGGCTTCAGCAGATGATTACTAACAGACATGGCTTCTCTCACAAGGCTGGGTTTGTCAGGGGTAGAGGACGACATGGAATTATGGAAAATACACTTTACCAGGAGCCAGGTGTTCTAAGTTTTGATCCCACTCTTTAGCTAACTGCTTTCCCACACTTCTATGGACCTCAATTTTCACATATGGAAAATGCATACTAGGACTACGGGACTAATTCAGTGGTTTTCTAACTTTTCATTACCAAGGATCTATTTATGGAATTTTCCTCCTTTACCCTCATATTTTGAAAATGTGTGGCTTAATAAGAAGAAAAATCATCAACTTTATTTAGAAAGAGCAAAAAAATAATTGACAGGCAATCAGCCATCTATAACTACCAACAAAATGCATTGATAGCATGAGATAACTAATGCCAAACACCAGGCTGAGATAATTCTAGGCCAAAGCAAACATCTTGGAAGTTTCTATCACCTGTGAAGCTGGTTCTAGATAAGGTCATGATTCCCTGTAGACTTCCTGAAATCGTGGAAATAGCCAATGAATTGCTTTCTAAGTTTTGAGCCCCTAGGGCTACACGTTCCCCAAGTAGACACAAATGGACTTGAAGTTGCTGATATCAGTGATTTTATTTTATGTGTGCAAGTCCTACAGGAGGATTAGGTTGACCTCTTGCTGGAATTCAGGGATTTCTAACTAGAAAATTACACTGACAAAGGAGAAATAACTCTTCATATCTCCAAAAATAGGGGGAAAAATCCAGGATGGCAGAAACATAACAGATATGAACAATGAATTGCATTTTAAAATGGAAAACATCTGTGCAAAATAAAAACTTTGGGGCTACAGATGACTTAGACAGAAGTGAGTATGAGAAACCAACAGACACTTGGTTGGTGCAGGAAATGCATGCTACAGGTTCCCTCACAGGGCACGAAGCAAAGTTACCACAGGTCGATACTTACAAGTAATAGGAGTAGGAATAAGCATTTCTTCTATATATTGATGGGCAGTCAGATGAAGGAAATGTCCAAAAAGGGGGGAAAAGAAAAGACAAACAAACAAGAATTAGATTTATATGAAATCTTGATTCTTAGAAATGCACATAGTATTTTAGCATCCCTAAGCTCAGGGTGATGCTAGTTTCTCTACTAATCATCTTTGCCAAGAATCAGATACTTTCAGTGGTAGAAGAAATGAGAGGGACTTCTCCGATGATGGAGAAACTCACTACTCATGCAGAGGAAGCCACGTCTCATGTTGGCTATTTTAGTTGTTTGCAAGTTCTTTCTTACGGTCAACTAGAACTAGTTCCCTTGTAATTATGACTTTTTGGTCTTGGGTCAGATTTCTGTGACCTTCTAGATCTAGTCTACCACTATTCCACATGACAGTGCCCCTATGATCTAAGAAAAACCATAATGACTTCTATCTTCTCTGTTTCAGGTCAAATCACATCATAATCTGTTTAGTAAGGTCATGCCAAAAGCAAGGAAATCATGTATCCAGCATCCAAGATGGATCCCCAACGATCCACACTTCCCAGTACTTATGCTCATGTGTAGTGGCCTCTCACACTTAATCAGGCTAGCCCTAGGTGACCAATAGAATGTGGTAGGAGTTACATTCTGGGACTTTCTAGGATTGGTCAAAAAGAAGCCTTGCAGCTCTGTCTTTGGAACTCTCACTTGGAACCCCGAGTCTCCATGTAAGAAGTCCAAGGATCCTGAGGTTGCCATGCTGGAGAGACCATGTGGCGAGCCCACACGGAAAGGCCCTAAGACTGCATGAAGAGAAAGAGACATCCAGCCAGCCTCCAGCTGTTCCAGCCCCAGCCAATTGGATTACGCCAACTGAGACCCTTGATTTCATGGAAAAGAAAAAAGTCATTCTCTTCAAGCCCTAACCAAAGTTCAGATTGATGAGAAAAATCAGTCACTAAATTTCATAGCTTATTTTTAAGCCACTAAATTTCAGGGAGTAGTTTGTTACATATCAGTAGATAACAAGAACAAAATCCAAAATTCATCATGAAAGCATTGCACTAAGAGAGGAATTCCAATCTTCAACTTGAACAGAGTACAACTTGAATAAACTCTCTGTGTCTTCATTTCCTTATCTGATCCTTAGATGAGTTGACCTAGAGCAGTAGTTTTGAAACTGTGTTTCCAAGAGCCCGGAGATTCTGCCGCGCAGCCTCATTGGAATGGGGGAGGGGATACCGACTAGGTAGTGCTACTGGTCCCCCACTATCCACCAAAGCCAGAGCTTCTATCTATTTTATAAATTGGAGTTTCATTTGAGATTTCACATGACTAAGAATTCCACTCTCCAAAAGAAAGCTTGAAAAATCACTGCCTGCCATCTCTTTCTAATGTCCATTCCAGCTCTTGGCTTCTGAACAATAAAAGCTCAAATAAGTCCACGATATTCCCTTTGTTATAACTTTTTGTGTTTTGTAGGAAAATAAATAGGAATGCTTTTATTTTACAGACTTAGTTACACTGACAACAACTGATACATTTGTGGAACGAGAAAAATTTCTCAATAATTCAGGTCCGCAAATATTCATCTGAGTAGGCAAGAATAGTTTCCTTCCTTTTGAGTTATTTGGTTAATCACAAGCATTATCCAGTTTGCTTGGCACAGGAAGATGCAGTCTTTATATCTGCAGGATGGGAACACGACCTCAGAGCCCCAAATTTCCCCTTCTCAAGTGGGAACTGCCCAAAGCCCCCATGGCAGGGCCATCTCTAGGCTTTCTCTCATTTATCAGGAGAGCCCAACAGAAGGAAAGTGACCCTGAGAGCTAAGATGCCACAGCAGAAGGGAAGTCCCGTGCCTTCTTGGGAGGCTGGGCTGCGGAAAATGAGCCACAACGCAGCAAGATCTGGTCACTCACAAAACTGTTCAATATCTTGGGCCAAATGAACAGTGGCCCTAGATGATGAAAGGGGTGAAGAACTCCCGCCTTAATGGGTGGGAACTGGAAGAGCCAATGCAAGTCATCAAATCCCCTTCACCACCCATACAAGTTGGCGTTGTGAGGAAACCATTCCTCTTCTTCATTGCTGGTTCTGTGGTCCAGTGCCTGAAAATGTGATTACTCTGGGGCAGAAAGGTCAAGATCCATTTGATAAAGACTTACAGACACACCTATGTTCTCCATATTGTCAAGAACACGAGGCTGAGAATCAAGAGGCCAGCACTCTGATCCCAATTCTTTCACCTGTTCATTGTGACATCTTGAGCAAGTTGATTCTTCCCCCTGGACCTCTGTTTCCTGATCCATGCACCAAGGTGAATGGCATAGACAACTGCCAGTTTAAACTCCTCAAGCTCTGAGGAGTGGAAATATGATAAGTCTTAGCATCCCAGCATCACCACTTACTAACTGCGTGGCCTTGAGCAAGTCATTAAATGTCTCTGAGTCTCAGTTTCTCCATCTCAAGGTTGGGGACAATAATTACCTATTCCCAAGAGTCATTGTGGGCATTAACATTAGATTATATTAACCTAATTATATTCAAATTATATATGATATATAATATATAAAGTATTTTAAGTAAAACGTATTAATATAAATTAATATTAGATTATATTAGTCTAAACACCTGAAATATAGTCAGGCTCAATAAAGGGGAGTTTATGTCCCCACCACATCCACAGATACAACGTTTGCTGCTTCTCACTCTGGTGACCAGGAACAAAGTGTTCACCTCTTTAGGAATATTAAATATCGTTATAAAATAAGAACAAATATTTATGTAGCACTTACTATGTGCCAAGTATTGTTCTAGGCTCTTATCGTATATTAACTTATGTATTTCTCACAACAACCCTTACAGGTAGGTATTATTATCATCCTCGCTTTACAGATGAGGAAACTGAGGCAGAAAAAGGTTAAGTAACTTGTCTAAGATCACACAGCTAGAAACTGGATTTGATAGCAACATGGCTCTAAAGCTCATGTTCTTAATTAAATCTTTTAATCCTCCCCACAACCCCATGGAGCAGGCATTATTCTTCTCATTTTTGTTGAGCAATCTGAAAGTCTAAGAGGTCATGCCTCATTAGGTCTAATGTTTTGTGTATTTTTGGACCAATTGCAGGGTCTCCATCCTGAACCAGGATTTCCTCATTGTCAGCAGTCCCAGGGTGCACTCTTGGGCCTCAGGCTGCACTCAACATTCTGGCCCCTCTGGCTTTTCTGCTCTCAACCTTCAGGATTCTGCCTGGGCCACCTCCTCATGACAACACGCTTTCTTAACCTTCAAACCACCTCTTGCAAATAGCTTTTCTGAGTTATCCTGGATGTCACCAAAAGCCAGCGCTCTCCCTGACCCAGCTTCAAGGCAACTCCAGAATGACGGCAACTGACAAGCTTCCATTAATTGAGTATCTTTTCCCAATTAAATTGCAAAATGTTCCAGGACAAGGATTATAGCTCTTTATTCTGTCACCAAAACACAGTATACATGTGTGTTTTCTCTAAGGCTTCGAGATTTACTGAAGGTCTAAATTTACAAGGATACAGTGATATTGCAAGTAACAGATTGCCTAAGACCAAAAGTCCTGAGCAGGAAGACAGCTGTGCTTAGAAAAAAACAACCCCAAACTTAATAAATCACATGCGTATCTTCTTCTCAGCCGGCTGACAAGATTAACTTGAGGCCCAACTTCCCTTTGTTCCATAATATTTCAAAAGGACTAAGTTGTCTATATAACCATCCATTTGACCATCTACCCTTCCAACTAGCTCATAAACCCAACCATCCACCCTTCTATCCATTCATGAATTTATGCATCCAACCATCCATCTATCCCTCCCTCCCTCCAACCACGCATCCATCCACCCAATAGTCTATCCATCCACCTATCCTTCTAGTCCATAAACCCACACACTCATCTATTCATCCATCCACTCATCTACTCATTCATCCAACAATCCACCTATTATCCACTCATCCATCTTTCCATCATTAATTCAGCAAAAACTTCTCGAGAGCCTACTATATGCCTGTCTCTGCTCAGAGATAGAAAGACAAATGAGATCTTGATTCAGCCCATATGTCTGATGGGAGAGCCAGACAAGAAACTTATAAAACAGATGATAATAATAGCTACCACTTAAATAGTAGGAGGTCACTTATGTGCCAGGTACTGTTCTCAATGCATTATGTGGACTATTTTATTTAATCCTCTATAAGGCATTATTATTCCTGTTTTACAGACGAGGATAGTGAATCTCAGAGAGGTTAAGTAACTGGCCCATGTTTATATAGTTAGTAAATAGCATGGCAGGGATTAGAATACAAGTGGTCTAACTTTAAGAGCCTGCATTAATAACCACTATGTTATGTTGTCTTCTGGAGTGATAAATGGTATGATGCAGCAACACAGGGAGCTGTAGGACTATATCTGGGGGTAAGGATGGTGATGGGGAACAGGTAAGTTGGCCTAGAGTCTAAGAGACCTGAGTTGTAAAGTCAAGAGGCATCCAGATGGAGTAGTAGGAGGGGAATTTCCAGGCAGGTGGAACTGTGTTTATGGAATGGGTGGGTGGGTTGGGAAGGTGGGAACATCAAGATGTTGGCGGGGCCTAGTTCCTAAAAAGCTTAAGGAGCTTAGTCTTAACACTCCAGGTCACAGGGAGAATCCAGAGAGTCAAATGGCCAAATTTTTTTCTAGATGGATGATTCCTTCAGAAGCATAAGAAGAAAGTTGGAGGGGAGAGGGATTGGGGTCCTGAAAGCTATTGCAAGGGTCAAAGCAAGAGATGTTGGGAACCTATCTCACAATGGCCACGGGGAAGGCGAAGAGGTCAATGTGAAAGGTAGTTAAGACACAAAATGTCAGCACATTGAAGAGAACTTGCAAGGTTCTACCTTGAGTGGCTACCAAGTGAGTGTAAACAGAAGGGTTCATGTCTCAGGGTGTGGAGTAAGGAGCAGTTTAGAACGGGGTGAACAAAACAGGGTGACACATTTCATTT